GAGGAGGTGGCAAAGGGTGAAGTAGGCCTGCGGGTCGCGTAGATGGCGTTTTGCGACGTTGGCAGGAGTCACAAGAGGAGACATACCGTTTGACTGTGCGGTACATGTTTGTCCAGTAGAATCTCTGTTTAACACGAGTATAGGTCCGGATGACACCTAAATGGCCTGAGCATGGTGAGTCGTGCAGCTCGGCGAGCACTGTTGTTTGAAGGTGTTTGGGAACTACAAAAAGCAGAGGAGCACCGCCTGGCCGATAATTTTGGAGATAAAGGATGCCGTTTTCAATTTTGTAGGGAGTGGAAGGTGGGCGACTCGTTGCAGCCGTGAGGTCATTGATGATGGTTTGGAGAGTACAATCTCGGCGTTGTTCCTCGGCGATGTTTAAAATGGCGGATATTTAGAAGAGCGGGAGTGTCTCGCTATCAGGCGTTGAGTCCGGTGGATCCACTGGATGTCGAGAAAGGCAGTCGGCGTCTTGGTGAAGCTTTCCTGACTTGTGAATGACTCTATAGTCATACTCCTGAAGACGGAGGGCCCAGCGTCCAAGGCGACCCACAGGGTCTTTAAGTGAAGAGATCCAGCAGAATGTTGGTGATCTGTGACGACAGAAAATGGAAGGCCGAAGAGATAGGGGCGAAACTTCGTAATAGACCAGGCGACAGCCCGACACTCACGCTCGGAGATGGTGTAGTTTTGTTCGGCCGACGAAAGGGTGCGGCTGGCGTAGGCGATCAGACGTTCTTGGCCTTGTTGGTGCGGTGCCAAGATAGCTCCAATGCCGTGGCCGCTGGCGTCTGTTCCTAGCTCAGTAGTGGCGGTGGGATCAAAATTGCCTGAGATTGGATTGGACGTTAGGGCTGTCTTCAAAGCTTCAAAAGCCTTGGTTGGTCGGTAGTCTATAGAAATTGTTGGTTTTTCTTTAGGAGGCTTGTAAGAGGACGGGCAATTTGAGCAAACTGGCAAATGAAACGACTAAAGTATTAACACAATCAGAGGAAACTGCGGACGTCCTTAGGGGATGCTGGTGCTGGAAACTCTTGGACAGCCTTGGCTTTGTCGGGGTCAGGTCTAATACCATTTCTGTCCACAAGGTGACCTAGCATTTTAGTTTTAGAGCTACCAAACTGGCACTTGGAAGAATTCAATTGAAGGTTTGCCTTCCCGAAGAGGGCGAGAACTTGGTCGAGTCGCTCGAGGTGAGATGCAAACGTTGTGGAAGAAATGATGACATCGTCGGAGGTAGCATAGGCAGGTTGTCTATTTGAGCCCTTTTAAGAGACGATCCATCATGCGTTCGAAGGTTGCAGGGGCGTTTCATAAGCCAAACGGCATCACTTTAAATTTGTAAAGACCGTCTGGAGTTATGAAGGCAGTTTTTCTCTATCTGACTCGTCGACGTTGATTTGCCAATAACCGGTGCGAAGGTCGATGGAAGAAAAGTACTGGGCGCCGTGCAGACAATCGAGTGTGTCGTCGATACGTGGTAGTGGGTATACATCCCTTTTAGTGATCTTGTTGAGCCGACGATAGTCGACGCAGAATCGCCACGTCCCGTCTTTCTTTTTGACTAGAACAACTGGGGAGGACCATGGGCTGGCGGAAGGTTGAACAATATCTTGTGCGAGCATTTTATCAACCGCTGTTTGTATGATGCGACGTTCGCTGGCAGAGACTCGATAAGGACGGTGGTGTAGAGGTGGTTCAGTGCCTGTATCGATGTGGTGTGTGGTTGTCGTCGTTCGACCGAGAGGACGACTCCCAAGGTCAAATACGTCAATGTGTTTATAAAGGAGAGCTTGAATGTTTTGCTGCTGTCGCTCGTTCAGCCTGGGGTCGATCATGGCTTTGAGTTTAGGAAGGATGGAACTCTTTAGGGGACATGATGCTGGAGGTGGCGCTACATCCATTGCAATAACAGATACAGTTTCTATTGGGAAGGGCGATGTGTAAGCTAGAGAAGTTCCGCTGGGCAACATTTGGCTGGTGTGGCTGATATTAACTACCCAGAGATATGTCATGCCAGCCGCGATGGAAACAAGGGAGTGGGGAACAGCAAGTTGTTTCGTTAGAAAAACATCGACGCTTAGAGACGCCATATAATCGCCATCAGTTGTAGGTCCGTTTGATGCGACTTTCACGGAGACTGCAACGAGTGGTGGGATACGATAGTCGTCGGTAGATCGTAGCTTCAAAAGTAGTGGGGCTGCCGGGTCTGTTAGGTCTGTTTGGGTAGGAACGTCAAGGTCAATTTCACTGTTTGAGCAGTCAATGAGGGCAGCATGAGCAGAAATGAAATCCCACCCGAGTATTAGTGAATACGGACAGCTAGCAATGACGGTAAACAAGACATAGGTCGTTTGGTAATCGAGAGTATTACGGGTGCCGCACATGACAATGGTAGGTATAACAGAACCGTCGGCGCCGAGCAGTAGCTTATTGTCTGGTGGTGTTAACGGTTTACGTAGCTGTCGCCTCAAATCTTCCCTCATTATAGATCCGGCGGCTCCAGTGTCTATAAGGGCGTAAATAAGGACACCGTCAATTCTAATGGGCAGCTGAATATGGACAGTGGTCGATGCGTCATTTGGAGGATTTGTGGGCAGTGACAGTGATGGAGCTTCAGCTCTTCATACTGCATGATTTAGTTTTCCGAGCTGCGATGGTCACGGGCTGGGGAGATAGGGCGGCGAGGGGCAGGTGACAAAGACTGTCGGCGACGTGGAGAAGGGGAGTGGTAGTACAGAGGGCGTGGTGCGAAGCCTTCGTTCTGGGAAGGAGTAAGGGGTAAGGATGGGGAGAAGTGATCATCGGAGGGGCGGCGGTGGGTGAGAGAAGAGAAGGTGCGAGGTCGGTTGTTCCATCGGCTTCGGCAGTGGCGGGTAATGTGGCCAACGGCGTTGCAGTGAAAGCAGATGGGTCGATTGTCTGGCGTCCTCCACGCTGCAGGGTCTCGTCGTGGCGCTTGACCCTCACGGTTAGCTGAGAGGTAGGCTGGGGACCAGGACCTCCGTGCGGGCGTTGGCATGTGAAGTCTATCAATTTCCTGTCGGATGACGGCTTGCACCGTTGATATTGAAACCGTTTGTGGTTCTGCGGGGCAAGGAGGAGTATTTGGTGGGAGCATCGCTTCTAGCTCACGACGAACGATTTTTGCAATATCTGAGTTTGATGTGTCCTCACACGTGGAAGTGGCTGTCGTATTAGGGAGCCGAGTGAAATTTCAAGTTATGCGGCGTTTCTTGGCCTCTTCAAACCTCCGGCATTCCTTGACCAGGGTGTCTATGGTGGAGCAATCTTTGAAAACAAGAAGCTGAAACGCGTCGCCTGCGATGCCTTTGAGAATGTGGGATATTCGTTCAGAGTCGGCCATGGCAGCGTCAGCTTTATGGCAGAGTGGCAAGATGTCTTGGACGTAGGCCATATATGACTCAGTTGATATTTGAACGCGGGACGCAAGTTTTCGTTTTGCGGATAATTTTCGGCCAGTGGGATCGCCGAAAATGTGTCGAAGTTGGTTTTTACACATCTCCCACGTAGTGATAGTTTCTTCGTGGGTGAGAAACCAGGTCCGTGCCGTGTCTTTGAGGTAAAAAATGATGGTGGCCAACATGATAGTGGAATCCCATCTGTTGTGGGTGCTAATCGGTTCATAAAGATGAATCCACTCCTCGAAATCTTGGTAGCCAGTGCCGGTGAAGTTTCCAGGATCTCGTGGTTGTGAGACGATGAGCGGTGGTGCGGGTACCGTTGGCGTACCTTCGGGTGGTGTACCGGTATCGGGCATTTCGCCCTGTGGAGGAAGGCGGCGGCGGGTTCGGGTGTCCAGGATGGGTGAGGCGTAAAGGTAGGGGAAAGTATTCACCTGCATCAAAAGTGTTACGGTGATTATGGTATACTATATTTTACAATGAACGAGAGGTTGAAAGATGGCAGTCCTGCGAAATCTCAGAAACGCTGCTGCTTCCTCTTCTTTCCCCAACAGCCGAGCTCAAACTTCTTTCTCCTCTTTGTATCAATATATATATATGTGTATATATATATATATATATATATATGGGTATATATTTTGTATGTGTGTGGGGGGGGGGGGGAGATTAACGAGTACTGCCACTTGTCTCCTGGCTACATGGTGTTTACTCATATGGGTATCAATTATTATTGAAACCGCCTGGCATGGCTACTAACTGTGAATTTAGATATATTAGTTTGAGTAAAAACCTTGTGGCAAAAAGGATACCTTTATCGACACCTGCAGACTAAACTAAACCTTTATCACTCGTATCCACCAGGCGCGAGTAGCGCCTGTTTAACCACTGACTAGCGACGCCATCGACTAAAATGATCACGTGGCGAGTGATAGTCGCCGCTAAGTGAGCGCTTGGTATTCACCGGTCTTGTTTAGGGCCTAGTCGCCCCGCGCTACTAAGAAGTCGACTAACAAATCTTAGTCATGGGGTAGGGCTAGTTTAGCGGGCGACTAGTAGGCGTTTAGGGGCAAATATGGCCGACCTGCGAGATTTTTTTTCGAGCTCGAAGAGCTTTCCCAAGTGCAAGCGCTTCGCGTGATGCCCCGTACGGTACGCGACCGGCAGAACCCATTCATTATATGGAGCAACGACAATTTCAAAAGGCAGTACAGGCTGAGGAAGGAGACTGTGATGTTTGTTGTGAACCTGCTTCGGTCAGATCTCAACGAAACTTCGGTGAACAACGCAATCTCGCCGGAGCTTCAAGTTCTCAGCGCCCTGCGCTTTTTTGCGAAAGGCAGCTATCAAGACGACGCTGGAGACATCCATGGCTTCAACCAGCCCACCCAGTCGCGGTTTGTAGGTCGGGTCTCTCGGGCTCTCGCACGAAGACGCGCCCAGTTTGTGCACTTTCCTGAAAACCGCAGGGAGCAGCGCTCCACGATCCAGCTCTTCTTCGAACGATACGGGTTCCCCTCTGTGGTTGGGCTTATCGACGGCACTCATATACGGATAAAAAATCCAGGCGGACCAATGCAGGTTTTGTACATCTGCAGGAAGAAGTTCCATGCCCTAAACGTTCAAGTGAGTTAGCTAAAAACAAATTTATTTCCACCTTTCCTAGTACCCTAACAAATTCATTACGTTTTTGTGGACATTCAAAACGATATCCAAAAAGAGTATTTAAGTTAAATAAGTGAGTACCAGGCAGAACAGCAACTATCTAATACTCATCTCTCAAAAAAGTATTCAAGTAGAACACATTTAAATCACTAACCAGTAAACACTTTTTAGAGCTTTCGAGTGAATGGTGCCTTGTCACTTCACCTTTCTTTCCTGATTCTTAGGAAATAGAACATCCGTTTACTGTTGGCTTTTACCAGTGTTTTGTGGCAGTGCTTCCTGGCTATGAGCCTATAAGGAATATGTCATTCCACCCTGGCTTTGTATACGTACCCTGGAGCTCGCTTACAGGCATTCCTGCTTCAAAGTCTAGGCTGTGTGTAACGCTTTGGGGCGTGCAAAGCGACAATTGAACGGCCAGCAGATGTCTTTGGTGTCCTGCCCTGCCAAGAGACGTGTGTCTGCTTACACTGAGGCGGCACATTTGTTTACCGAGATGCAGTACCTACCTCAGAGGTAGGTGCTGCATCTCGGCCCAAGAGTGTCTGAAAAAAAAAAAAAAAGCCTGTGGTCGCAAAGCACCGCAATCAGTCATATTTTTACTTTCCCACCTTCCGATGAAAAATGTGGGGGTATCTTACGACCAACGTAGCAAATGAGTACAACATACTTGCAAAAGGTATTGATAGGTTAGTGTACCAAGTATTGGCTTTTTAAACTATTTGAAAACTATCAACCCACCCTAAAAAGTATTTGGGGTGGGGCAACTTAAGAAGAGTATGTTACGTACAACACTGCATTTTCCTTTGCAGCTGGTTTGTGAGGCTAAGGAAAAAAAAACCAACGTGGTGGCACGCTGGCGTGGTAGTGCTCACGATTCAAGGATCTGGGAAGAATGTGCCCTTCGGGAGAAGTTTAAAGAGAGGGTACGCTAGTGTTTGTTACGATTTTTGTTCGCAAACATTCTAAAGTGGTAGATAGTAGCCTCATTACTGCCCAGCCTTAAAAAATAATAAATATTGGAATTCAATCATTGAAATAAAGACACATATCTCTTTTGTGAACATATTTTAATGTTTATGCACTTTATACTTATTTACACACAGAAAGTGACGGGCCTCCTACTGGGAGACAACGGATATACGTGCAGTCAGCATCTCTTGACACCAGTCCTCGGTGCACGGCCGGATAGTCCAGAAGAAGAGTACAACACACGACCCAAATCTACAAGAAATGCCATTGAAAGAGTGATCGGGCAACTGAAAAACAAGTTCAGGTGCCTTATCCGAAAACTTGAAATCTCCTTAGACACAACAAAGGCTGTGATAGTAGCGGCATGTGTGCTCTTCAACATTGCCAAGGACCACAACGGTAATAAGATTGCATAATATGAATGGAATAGACATCCATACTTTAAACTTGTCTCAATGCGTTCTACATTTTTTCTTTTAGATGAGGATGATTTTAGTTCAGACTCTGACACGGACTACGAATCAAGCGGTTCAAGCGACTCCAGTTCCGAAAGTGATGAAACTCCCGCGGATCCTCCAAGTGGAACTGCGTTCAGGTCGCAGTTCATACAAATCAATTTTTCTTCAGGTACATGAAACAATTGTAAACCTAGTGGTGAAAAGCATGAAAAGAGCACGGCCAACGCAGTGAAACACAAGCAAAATAAATGTTTAGACGAAGAGAAGTTGGTCTGCCTTAGAAGCATGGCGACACCCTGGCGTGAACAATGCTACCAGTGCAGTACAACTACTAATTTGGGGTATTAGGTGCATGTCGTGCAGTATCGAATACACTACCACATAATACAGAAGCGCTGACAAGCGACTTAAGTGAAAATGAAAAATAAAAAAAGCACATGTTGGTGCAAGAAATAGATTACCACCAGAGTTTACACTAGGGACATCAAACATTTCTGGTGGCCTGTAAATAAAAGCATCCTTGTCACATAATCCTGATTAAAAAGACAATGAAGATGATTGGAAAGTTTTATTTCACTAATAAAACACGTCTTATGCATGACCTAGCTAATTTTGTCCAAGTTTTAGACCGAAACAGACACGTGCCTGTTGCCAAAATAAAACACGGCCTGGAACGAAGTTATGTGACAAAGATGTTTTTTTTTTCTCACAAGCCATCACGGTTGTTTTAGACCTGTGCTAGCATTGTCTGATTTTTTCGCTGCCAGTATTTTAACTGTTCGCTAAGCACACTCAGCTGAAGCTTGTTTTGCTCTTCCAGGAATGGTTGCTGCTGGACCTCCCTCTTGAATTGTTGCTGTAAAATCTTCATTTGAAGATTGTGTTGCTGCTGGTCGAACTCCGTCTGCTGCTGTAATTTTTCATTATAGCAGTCAGTTACGAGCTCGGTACGCTTTGTTGCACTGCCACGGAGACTTTACTGCCTAAGCAAAAGAAAACGTGTTTGCACTCACAAAAGTGTTTTACAAAAAATGCAAGTCACTTCAGCGGTGGAAATTCAATAAAAGTTTTGGGGGAACCATGTCACCCAAGGAATGTTGAAAGTAAGAGCTCCAAGGCCTTCTTTTTTTCCCCAAAATTTAGGCGTATAATGCTTCAAGACAAATCTTTTGCCCTAGAGCAGCCCAACTGCCGCCCCTGTAAATGTATTGTCTGCGATGCTACTAGAGAGATTTAGTATAACATACGCAAGCGTTTTGTGTATGCAAAGAATAGTGTCACCATAGGTTTTATATGACAACATTATTTTTAGCGTACTCAATACTCACTCCCTAATGCGGAGTTTTGCAACGAGTACAAGAATGCACACCTTCTGTGATGCCTGATCCCAGCACGTCGCTGCATTGTAGTGGCAGTACCGTTGTGTCTTCTTACAGTCAAGAATCCAGCAGGAGGTAAATGAAGGTTGGATGGTCGGCTGCATTCCACATAGTTAAAGACATATCAAATTATTACGTCATGACTCGGTCACACTATCCTGGGCATGTTGGTGCATGTCAGGCTGAAAAGGAATAGATTTAAGATCTAGGAATAATAAATTACCTTTAACTAAATGACTAGCAAACGTATTCAGCCATTCTGGAGCTCAAACGATTATTTAAGGTATTTTTGTTATTACGGAAATAGAACAATAAGGTGAGACCGGTAACTTTTGTGGGAGGCTTGCTTGGGAAAGAAAAAGAAAGAAAACAGGGAACAGTTTCAGGTCTAGGGGGAGCACTCAATGCACACATTGAAGCTCGCACAAGTAGGACGCACCTGACCAAGCACAGCACAAGGAAGTAAGTCACTCAACGCACAATAGTGCAGTGGTTTTACAGGCGGCGCACTGGACGTTCACTTAGTGATGATGCACTGTTAAGTTTCTTACATACACAACACAACACAGTAGAAACCGCACACACATATGCATTAAGACTAGGTACCATCATTGATTAATTAGACCGGTACTCTCAAGACGAAATTCAAGTTTCTCTATCAGCTTCTACTTCCATGCTTTGCTTAGAAATTTAGCAAATTTCCTGCAAAGATTAGGATAAAAACTTAAAAATATGATTTTCCATAGGAAAACTAGTGAGGTTACTTCGGACATCACACAACTTCCAGAAGAAAGTCAAGATACTGAGCACTCACTTCAATGCAGGTTGTTTTGTTTTGTTTCCTTACCGAAAATAGATACTCTATTTCACATTCAGCCTGCATCAGATATGTTCCCTGTCAGGTAATAGCATCTGCATCAGCATACTCACGTGTTCAGCAGCAACTCTTCCGGTTCATCAAGGTGTTCCGGCGCAGGCACTTGGCTGCAAGTAGTACAGTAACCTCTATTACAAGATTCACGCTTCTTCTTGCTTGGCTAGCACCCATACTCGGTTAGTTATTGTTCGCAGCTAACAAATCCACTAAAGGCTCGCATCTTCATAATTTTTTTTTTCTTTGGGGGGGGGGGGGGAGGATGTAATCGTCTTTTTGTGTGCACTGGTGAAATTCTTTTACTCTTCTATATGCGTCGTCATCATTTTTGTAGGAAATATCAAGAAATGAAAATAGCTAGGCAATTTTGAATTCTGTGTAATAAAGTTTGATAAAGCCTATTCGACTAAAGCAAAGTCAATAAGAAAAATATTTATTTATTATTTATATTCTAAATACACCCAAAAGTAGGACATACGTGCTTAGCAGCAACTCCACTGGTGTAGGTACGTGCTCCAGTGTGGCCTCTTCCACCAATACACAATCTTCTTGGACGCAGTCGAAACGTTGCTCTGGTGCGGTCGTTCTAAAAAAAAGTGAAAAGTAGGGTTTCCCATTTATTATAAGGACGAAGTAGAATAACTAGATGAACTCACGTTTCTCCGTCCATCTCCACGTCGTCGTCGTAAGCACTCGTGTCTCTAACAAATTCGTGAGGGAGAGCGTCTTTTATCGCGGTGTCCACGGCGGATGGCTCCTTCGGTGGTGCACCACCTCCCGTCCTCGAGAGTTCTTTCTAGTAATCCCGCCAATTCGTTTTTGCTGTCAGCTTCATGCGTCTCCATTGCTCTTTGATACGATCAAGGTCCCGAACTTTCGTTGTCGACTCCGCTCTGAATTTTCAATTACTTGCCAGGCCTTTTTTATTGTACGTTGACTTTGTGGTCGTTCGACTTGTCCTCGATGACAGCAACGTAAGGTAGAATCAGATCCAAGAGCCTTAACTTCTCCGTCTGGTCCCAGTTTTCACCTCGCGGTCTTTTTTGCTTCTGAGCCGAGGACGAACGAATGGTGGACGAACCCATCACGCACGAAACAAAGCACGACCAAATCACCTGACCGAATTGGCGCGACGGCTGATGTCGGATTGGATTGAACTGGATTCTGTCGGCTAAACTCGACAACTGGATGTAAACTGTGCGCGTCGCGTTGTTGACATCCGGTTTTTTTTTTTCCGGTAGGGCCTGAGCGCATACGTGATAAGGCCGCTGACGTCACTTCCGCCGTGTAACTCCAGACTAGATAGTCGCCCGCTCGCACAAAGCAAATCGGCGCTCGTGAATGCCGCAGAACATAATCGCTCGTTAGTCGCGGATTTCTTGTTTAGCTCGCGACTACTTAGTCGTGCTACTAACCTTAAAACGGCGCTAGTTAGTCGCGCCTGGTGAGTATGGGTGTATATCATTAGCCGCACGCTTTCTTAATCCAGGTACTTTAGATGTATCACTTGACTCAATTCTGACCCGCCGATTAATTTACATTTTCCCAAAATACGGGAAGGTCAATTCGCTACGATCTACGTTGCACGCCCGCTCAACAACGAGGTAGGTACAAGCAATCTTTTCATCCAACAGATGCGCAAAACTTATATGCAGCTAAAATCTTTATGAGAGCACAGTTCTTCTAGCGGTGAATTCCAGAGTCCCAGCCCACGGCCAGATTTGTTTTTGCGAAGTGGTGGGTTAGAAGACATGAGTTTGTAATCACGTAAAATTCACCGCTTCGTATGCATTTTTTTTATAACTAAAATTTACTCTGAGTGCACTATATTCAAAATGACGGTGTTAGGAAGTTTTAGTATTGCGTATAGAGGCAAATGCAAACAAAGTAGGTTTGCGTTACCGCTGCCCTTTCCACGCTGCGCATGGCGTCCTCGACATGCACCAACCCAAGAGGCAGTTTGGGTTCCGTGCACGCGCAGCGTAGAACACGCAATGCTAACGCAAAAGCACGGGGCTTGCGTTTGCTCGTTAGCGCAATACCAAGATTTACTATTATGCTGTATTCGGAACGAGCCCAGAGTGTTCTACTTGGACGCGGTTCTACAAACTATCGTTTAAGGAGCCATCCAAGAGTGAGGCATTGTATTAACACGACGAAGTAGAAAAGGGAATGCTGCTCCGGCTAATTTGGACTTGCAAAACAACAGCAATATATATATGTATGTATAGTTGCATTTGTATCTGCGATTTAGAATAAAAATGCTAACACTTATAGGTTGCAGACTTCGAGTAAGGTATCTTACTCTTGAAGAGGCTTCCTTCGGCGGCAGGGGTAAATTTTGTAACGTCTTCTCCGGGTGTCATCTTGTTCGAGACCTCCTCCTCGACGGGTGTCATCTTGTTCGAGATCTTCTCCTCGCCTGGCCCAATAGTATTTGTTTTTGTTTTTTGGGGAGCTGAAGATGCAAAATAAAAAAGTGAAATTAACAGAAGCAAAAAAGAACACGTTGATTGCGTTGCTTACGAAGTTTTAAATTAAAAGGTTGATTACAAGTTGGAATAAGCTCGATCCACGAGACGTTGTGCACGTGCAACCCCAGGTTGCGCGACACAAGGAACCTAGCTTTGCCTCGGTTTGGCATACTAGGGGACCTAACTTTACACTCAGGGGGTAGAAAGCTCCTCGAGGTGACATGAAGCCACCAGAAGTGAAGCCAGAAGTGTGGAGGCACTCGTCCCTCACGAGGACCAAAAACCAAGAGCCACTGTTGGACGAAAAAGAGAGCGGACGCAATAGCTCTTATGGTCAACCTCAGAGCCCCGGGACACCGAGGGTTACCATAACTGCTGTTGGCACCAAGTCAGCTCTCCTTTTCGTCCAATTGCGTCTCTTGGTTTTTGGTCATCGTCGGGGGTCTGTCCCTTCACACTTCTCGCTTCATCTCCGGTGGCCTCACGTCACCTCCTGAGGCTTCCTACCTCCATGTTGAGCCTCATGAGATTTTGCTTCAAGGCGTTTGTTAGTGCCAAAGCACTTATGTCTTCACGTCTTAGCCAAAGGTGTTGGCGTTCGGGTAGCGGAAATATACCTCACTATACGGCGATTTGACGAGCGCCCATCTGGCTAGGAATTTCCCACCCCTCTGAATGAGCCATTATTAGATCACGGTGACTAGTCATCGCACAGACAGGGTTTCTCGTCATTGTAAGGTTGTTCGGCTAGGCGCAGTAAATTGACCTTTCAATAGTATTTTCTGCAATGATCTCCAATTTAATATCATTTGAAATCCTTTTTCGTATCTCTTGAAATGGTTTGTGTCGCAGTTTTGAAATGTACAGGCGATCCCGGTGGCAGTAAAATAGACGTCCGTCGCCGCCAGGGGGAGCTGAAGGCGGGATTTTAACGCGACAATTCTGAACCGCTGACATTTATGGTACCCAGAGAAAACAAAAAAGGAAGCAACAAAAGAATAGGAAAAGAAAGCACACGAAATGTTAGGCGTGTTCGTTTCTTTGCGAGGAGTTCAAGTTGCTTGAGCACGTGTCAACGTTATTTAATTTTATTTAATGCGCGATTCCAGTCTTTGCTTGAAAATTAAGCTAGACAGAAAACTAGAGGTACAGTCGTTATGGGCAATGCTTTGCTACTTCTTTCTGGATATTAAGGCCCGCGAATGATACGAGTCTATAGAGACGCCCAACTGGGACCACCGATATCCGCGTCTTTTCCGAAGCGGCCCAAATACGAGGCATTTCCTTCTAGATTATTATATTCGCTCTGTGGTCGGCGCTCGGGGAGGCGGTCTTCCTTCGCAGCGTCGTGAGCTGCATTACCAAGAGGAGGAACTCCAACAACAGTGCAAATGGGGGGAGGAAAGGGGGGGGCTTCATTGGAAAAAAAAATATATATGGTCGCGTGGCGTAATGCAGTGTGCATGTGTGTGAAAATAGCGGCCGAGCGGGGAAATGAGGTGCGTTCGGGGGTATTGAAAAAGACGAAGTGTGTGGGGGTCGCGAGAGCGGGATGATCTGCCAGGGATGTGAGAATGCGGTGCCGAGAGTACTTCAACCGGGCTAACTGCACGACAGTGACCTGAGCCATATTTATTAGAGGAAAACGAGTGGCAAGCGAATGACACTATACAACTTGAGGATATAATTGACAGATTAATTTCGCTCAAGCAGCACAGTCGTCACGTCAAGGACCAAGAAAATAACCTTTAAACAACAACACAGCAATACCAGAGGCGTGCCAAGAAATAACGTAAAATAAATGACAAATTCACATGGCGGTAGCGGTGGGATTCGTAAAGTTCGTGCGAAGGAGCATCGGGGACACATGACAGACGAGGAGGACATGGTGTTCCAGCACAAGAGACCAGAATGCGTGAACGTGAAGTGCACGATTCCAGAACTGCGGGACCCTAAAAACTCTGAACGGTGATCGATAGACATTATCACGGACGACAGATCGCACGCAGTTTTGTGGGGTCAGAACAAGAGGTAGCTCAAAGCGAGATGTTCAGAGCTCCGAATTGAAAGCGTTGGGGCATGAGGGAAAGCCGAGATTCTTTAAAGCATTTTGGAAAACAGGTGGATGCGGACGGCAAGTGGCGGTAAGAATGAACTTTGGGGTGGGTTACCCGAAGTGTCCTCGCCCAACGTGAGTGAGCATTTAAGGCGCGTAACGAATCACCGTGAAGTATCCTCGCATAGCGTGACTGAGCATGCAAGACAGGTCCCGGATAATGACCACTGTGAGCTCAAGATCTGCTCACAGGAGCTGGAGTCAGAGATGCTGCGAAGGGAGGCTGGGGAATTGAGCGACGCGAACCAGTCCATGTCAAGATTCGGACCGAGTTCGGGAGGGGAAAGTCGCGGGTACGTGCCGCGCTATGTCAAGCCCCTACTTTTATTCGAAGAGAAAACTGATATATATATATATATATATATATATATATATATATATATATATATATATATATATATATATACATATATAGATAGATATTTTCTACTTTCAAAACAGCCTGCCAGATTCATTAGTTTCCGCCTGAGCTGCAGGCTTGCGTCTTAGCGTCGGTTTTGATGGGAATAGCACTCGAGGCCTACTCAGAGTTCTCTTTTGTAAGTGCAAGAGACTATGAAGTTGCAAAGACGGAGCCTCGGGCCCCCTACCACAAGAATGACGAAGCATACCGGAGCAAATTTAGAAACACCATGTGGAATCCGGGTGAGTTCTTTACGAAAAGGAAAACCAAGATTTACCGCTTTCATGACCGGTGGATGAAGGCAGAAGTCGCAGAGGACATTGCACGAATAAAGATTCCTATTGTCATGGAACAAATGGAGAAAGCTGGGTGCAGTCACTTGGGTTCGAGATCGCTGCCGGGAGACTCATGATGAATTTGCGAAGCTTGTTGGTCGGTACCAATAGAACCGGAAATCTCATGAGGCCCAGGTTCTACGCAAAGTGTTGAGGTTCCCCACACATCTACGAGCCAACGGTGATTCACAACCCGGCTAAGTTAGTTGTTTTAGTTGCGGCCTGGTTGATCAAGTGAAACTAGAGTGCACGTTCGCGCAGGCTCGTATCGACTGTAGAAAAACAGGTAATGTCAAAAAAACCTGAGTGGCCGCTCCCAGATTAAGAGAAGTGACTCAGATGTACGA